GGAATGCTTTGCAAAATACTGTCAAAGCTGTAGCTGTCCGAGTGGCATCTGGTCTGGAAGCAGTGAATTTTCAAATCAGGAAGAACAGGAGCATATGCTTCAACTCACCTGTTACTGTAAGAGTTCTACAGTAGAAATAACATCTTACCTGATCGTAACTCGTTTTAAATTATCTGTATTTTATACATTTCAATACATTTTGTCATTTGCAAATTATTTTTTTTTAATGTGTTTCTAATTGCTTTTTTAGCACATCTAATGTTAAAGTTGCAATCTTAATTAGAGATTGTACTTGTGGTTTACATAATTATGCAAGGGACATTTACATACATACCACATATTTCTTATATATTTACATATCTGACATTTAAACTTCATTGTTTAGATTGGCAACACTCAAATTTTTGACATGACTTAAAAAACGTCACTTTGACTCTTTAAAAGTCAAATGCACATTTTTATGCGGAGTTTTATGTCACCAAGATATTAGAAATGTAAATATCAAATTTTAGTTGTTAGGTATTACAAGTCATAAGAATTGTGTGGTACATATGTAAATTTCCCTTCATAAAAATTAGTATCTTTGTAAAAAAAAAGGCGAGTTACCAAATTCATGTATTTTATTATTCATGCATGCCACAATTGAGGGCCTGTTTGGGGGTAAGAAGCTATTATGCAGAAGCTGTCGCCGATAAGTTGGCTCTCTGCTTATTTTTTGCAGTTTAAAAATAGTTGTGTTGCATTTATTTTTGGATAAATAAGCATTCTACCCATATATTGTAATGTTATTTGCAATAAACCGTTCATACCAGTGCATTCCAAATTTGAAATCAAATATCCAATGCTGAATATTAAAAAATAAAGATATATGCCTCATTAAACAAGAAGTTGCATAACTATCAAAATTAAGCAAATAACTATTAAAATAACAATCAATAATATGATAACATTAATTTTAAAATGCAGAGGGTGTATGCCACGAAATAACTCGTCATCCAGGGAAACTCTCCACGCCTGATCTCTTTCACCGGTAGAATTTTCCAACCTATTTGTTCACCTAAAATAGTCACAATATTTTATGATTCTCCTTGGAAACTTGTAAAACTGTCTCCCTAGCTATGTGGTTGTGGCGAAGTAAATAGAAAATATTGTAATCCGCACTAATAGTCAAATCCTCTGGACGTATCGGAAATCATCGAGTTCATCTTTTCTATAGGCTGGAAAACACATACCATTAGATATAGCACAACTAAAAATTGATAACAGAGGAAACTAATTAAAGTTTTATGCGGCTGTGATGTCTTAGTAAACTTAGTATATAATCCAATGAATCTGTTACTACAAGAAGACAACAAACTTAATGAAAAGTGCTATTGGTTGACTTTAACTCACGTAATATTGAGCTCGAGTGTGTCACATATGCTTCTCACTAAAAAGGGCATCTAGAAGAACCTAAAAAATCATAGCACTGAAAAAGGAGTGAAATTTGGTTTTCTGCATTAGGATTTCACATATAATACCAATCAATAACGACATACACGCCATCCTAGACTTCCAAAGACCCACAAAAAATACAATATTTAGGATACATATATTACTCACGGTTGCCTCATCGGTCATCCAAGTGGGAGAAAAATGCATGAAAAAAAAGTACATATTACTTGTAAAAAAAAACTGATAAAATAAATATCATATGTATAAAAAATATATACATGACTTGTATAGGATACTGATAATTTCAACAACCAAGACAATAAACAAAAATAAAAATTAACGTTCCCTCCAATCACCCTTTAATTATAGCATCTGTAATTCGTTGTCTCAACCTCGCTATCTTGCTTGTATCTTCCTCATCTTGAGTGCAGATATCAAACACATTTTTTTTTCTATTTGTGACAAAGACTATAAAAATCGATATTCATATGTGTCAGCATGGATATGTGAATGATCCTAATTTATTCTACATAAATTAATGTCGTTGTGTATAATTGTGGAGAGACATCGTGACAATCACAATCTGCACATGTTTGGAAAACGGATAAGTTGGCATATTGCGAAATATAACTCATTTTTTCTTTCAAACTCCAAATGTCTTATCAATGACATTGTGTAATGAGGAGTATCATTTGTTAAATATTTCTCTCTTGTCTCGCCTGACATTACTGGTTCTCTTAAAATCAGGTATGTGGTATCTCGTATCAGGATAGAATTTCACATAACCTCTCAGTCTCAAGCGAACTTATGGGTTGATGTGCAAAGTTATATTTTTTATTGTGTTGTAAATTTGAAGATTCGACTGTCGTGTGCACTGCTCTACCTCCCGGTCATTACAAAAGTGAAGTACATATAACCCTAATATTCTATTTCGGTGACCTACAACGACCGACTAATATGATCTTTTTATTATTTGGAGCACATGCATTCACGTTTGTTTCATTGATTGCTTTAATATAATTCTAAGAATATAAGTAAGGGTAACTTATTTAATATATTCATTTTCAAAATTGAATGTAATAAATAAAAGAAATCACCTGAAAAATATGACATACCGCGCATTGTGTGAAATCTTTGTGGGGGTCTGTTCGAATGTAAAATCTATTGATTTTATGAATTGTGATGAAAAACTGACAAGTGCATTCAACCCTACTGAGAAATATCTACAAATTGTTTCGGAAGAGTGTTGGAATCGCTCCATAGCTCTTCACATTGATTCATTCTGTGATAATATCTAGAAGGTTATTGCTAACACCTCTCGTGAAGTTGTCATGGTTGAGTCATGAAGTTCATGATTTTTCTTTAGTTCCTCCAACAGTGCTGTGAATATCACATGTGTCATGCAGAACAAATTATTAAACCTCGTTGGATGGCCCCCAAGCAACTCCCCAACCCATTTGTCACCAACGTACAATGATGTCATGCAAGTGAAGCGCTTTATGTATGAGTTATAATACTCGTACATTAAACACACTGCACCTACAACTCTCATACCACTCATTTCTCTATTTGCATCCATGTTATTCGACGTCGAAGTAGCAACACATAAGCATCAACGAATTAGCTGCAATCATATGATGTTATGAACAAAACCAACTTCAAAATAAAATTAGAGAAAGTAAATAGAAAATATAACGATGAAAAATAAAATTGCAAATCAAATTTAACATCATCACAATGAAAAAATTAAAAAATCATTAGCAAATAAAAATGTCCAATGCAACAAGAAATGTAAAATGTGCCACAAGAATTTAAAGAAATTCAGTTGTCCCTCAAGTGTCACTGTTCGCATGACAATAACGTAAAAAATGCACCCTACGGGCAGGAGTCATCGTTATAAAAAATACTATTCGAGTTGGGGTCTTCAAACAACTACATTGAGAATAAATACAATGACATGTCCTCATAAATTTATGGAGTTCCCTCCGTAATACACAAAACCTACTGGACAAAAGTTGCTTATAATGGGTCGGAGTCATTGTGCATGAAATAACCAACTGTGAAATCTGACTTCTAAAAAAAACAACTCACTTTTTTTTTTTCTTTTTTCAACCCGGGGACGGTTTGACTGACTAGCGGACTCAATTTCATAGAGGTTCGGGCTGGGGACTTCATTATAATCACCCGTGTGTTCAGCTGTCAAACTTTCAAGGATGTCACCAAACCCCCAACCGCCTCACTACGGTTTGGGATATATGGGGTACTAAACTACGTGACATAGCCTCGATAAAATAATTCATTATAAGTTTGTGAGCACAAAAATATACTTTTTGGTGTTACAATTTTATACCTAATACAACGCTTGTTCATTTATAATAGAGAGAAAACTTCATGAGTCTGGAGAAAGTCGTCGTATTCTACATATGACGGTTGTAACCAGCTATTGCAGGATTTATTGTCGAATTTTCAATAATATGTTATTGTTACACCGTTTTTGGGATACAACGTTAGCAAGTAGAGTTTGATGACAATAGCGAGTAGGGGCGACCAAGTCTACATTTGTTGGGAGACGATGGTAGGTGACTACAGAGATCAAAAGTCATGGACGGGTCTCCGATAAGATGTTATTTGTTACACCGTATTTAGAATACATCATTAGCAAACAGAGTTCGTCGATGACAGAGAGAAGTGATGACCGACAGTGTCCGACTATGGGCGGTAGTCAACGATAATTGGCAATTATGGAGTCTAGATTTTATCAACGGGCGTTCCATACAACGTCATATCATTACATTGTATTTAGGATATGTCGCTAGCAAGCATAGTTCGTCGACGACGGTAAGCAAAGCGACCAGTGATGGTTGATGGCGACTGACAGTTGGCAGTGGACTGCGATCTACATGCATGAAGGCCATAAGTTATCACCCGGTCTAATCAGGTTTAAGTATAATATTATTCATTAGACCATATTTAGAATATAATTAGTCAACAACGGGGAATATGATCGGTCGTAGGGGATCCGTGACAGCCAAAAAGCAATGATCAAGCCAAGAAGTTATTCGGCAAAGCTCCGCGTCAAAGTCCTTCTACCTTCACTCTTCCCACACTTTCTTCGCCGTCCTCATTTCAATGATTCCATCTCCCTCCAAAACCCTAAATTCCAACCCTAACGAAGCCTGGACCCTCGTCAACCGCCGCCGCCGCCGAGGCAAACCCATTACGAATGCCGCCTCTCGATCCAAAACTCTAACCCCATCCCCCGAACACAAAACTCCATCTTCATGGATCCCCACCGATTCTTCCACCGATTCCGAGAGAGAATCCAAACTCCTCGCCCGAATGGAATCCGCCATCCGCGAACTCGGCAGCTCTCGATTCGTCCACCGCTTCCTCTCCCGTTATCGGGACCCCCAGATCCAGAAAGAACTCAACAAACTTCTCACCCCCTGCTTACAGATTCAGATCGTCGCATACGGAATCGGAAGCATCGAATCGTACAAGACACCGCGGGCTGCCGCTCGCTCTTGCTCTCCTGCTCCGGCAGGAGCTCGGCGTGAGAGCCATGAGGCCGATCGAAGTGTTTGACCCAGTTCTCTCTGCGGTGGAGTGCGCCGTATTGGCGGCGCTCGGGTGCAGAGTTATCACCGTAGATGAATGTGGGCGCCGGGAGACGGCGATGCCGACGATTTACTATATGCCGCATTGCGAAGCGATGCTCTATGATAACCTACTGGATGCGAATTGGAAACCGGTGATGTTGAGGAGAATGGTGGTGATTGGCAATAGCTTTGGAGTGTATGAGCGGTATGTGAAGGAGATGAGAGGGGCATGTGGATCTGTAGCTCTTGAAGTTGATGGAAGGCATTTGCTTTGGATCAGGAGGTATGTGCGGGAGGTGGAGATGGAGGGGAAGGAGAATGGTCGGGATTTTAAAGAAGATGAGGATGAAGTTGAGCTTTTTAAGGCTTTTCACGATTTGAGCTGGCATTTCTTCGAGCTTGATGATGATGCAGACATGGGCGAGCTCTGAAGGTAACTTACTGCTCTTTTGTAAGCTTATGCTCATCTCTGATGTTTATCTTGTGAGCGATGAGGGTTTTTTTGGGTTCTTTGCAAAAGGCACACCATTGATCTTACTGTATTTAGCAGGAACCAGGAAACATGAAAATTTATTAAAAAGAAGCGAAATTACCTACATAGCACACAATTTTTATGTATTTACAGATCTTACACTTAAAATTTTCATCTTTACGTACCTAGAACTTTGTTGCTTTAAACCTAAAAGGTGTTTTTCACTTTTATATAGCTATAATAGTAGTATTGTAATAGTATTAAACCTATACATGAAAAGACGTATTTCACGTTTAAAAAACAATAGTAATATTGTAATAGTATTATGTTTTATATGACTATAAATATGAAAGCTTAGGTGTGAGATGCGTAAATACATAAGAATTGTGTATTTATGTAAATTTTGCCTAAGAAAAAATGGTTAGAATTCTAAGGTGGATGAGGAGGCTGACTTTTTCAAGTGTTTTAAAGATTTTATTTTTGCTTTTTACAAGGTTTTTGATAGTTTTTATCACATAATTGGTTGACTGAAGAAGGAAATGATGCATTAATCCATCTTATTTCTAAAATCTTTCATTGTTATGTGTTTGAATTTGCAAAATACAAATGGGCATATTTTCCCATTAGTAATCAAAGAAGCTTAGCTCTCTTTTCTCAATTTGATGTAAAAAATTCATTCTTGTATGAAGAACTAGGAAGAAGATGAAGCTGGCGTCTAGCAACATCTGCACCTCATCTGCTATTAATAAGGTTTATAAGTTTGGAAAACGCTTTATATAGGCTGAAGCAATCCCCAAAGGCATGACTTGCAATGTTTACAAGATTCCATTAAAATTAGGGAGACCATACATTGCTTATCAAGGGGATATAATTGTAATTAAGATTGAAGGGAGAGGAAACTATAAGTTTTGAGTAACTTCTCACTGAAGAGCTCGAATTCAAAGACTTTGGGATGTTGAATTACAGCTTATGGTAGTGTGATAAAGTAACCAAGGAATCTTGCTCTCTCGACAAAAATATGTTACCAGCCTCATAAAATTGTTTTGGAAACCTTCACACACAATTGAATCCTAATCACAAGTTTGAAGAAGCCGAGGAAGATGATATAATGGATGGCGTGATGTATCAATGTTTAGTAGGAATGCGTATATATATTTCTCCCACTCAAAGTCAAATATGGCTTATGGTAGTGTGATAAATAAGTATTGGGGTACTATGAAGATACTGCGGAAGGGAATTTTACTTTGAAGAAGTGTAGTTCTAGTACTTGAAATGTCTATAGATATTAATTATGCCGGAACCTCATAACATGGAGAAATAAGAAGCAAATGCGACGGTAAGTCGAACTACGAATGAACTAAGCATTCGAGAAGTTACTCGTGGTGTAACTCTTTTAGAGCTTATTCATGACATTTGTTTAGTTAATCGAATAAGTTTGGATACCTTTTGTAAATACTTGGTTGTTTAGGAATGATGTTGTTTAAAGCTTATGAATTAGCTCCATTAACTCTCAATACTTTATATATGAAAGTATACTCGTTGAATTAATCAATTAAAGTCTATTTATACTCATTTCAAAGCAAATTTAATCTATATTAATTGCATCTTGAATTCTTATTATTTTATTATTATTATTTCAGTCATTTCATGGTCCATTTTTAGTGCCATGCAACAATGTTGGGTATGCAAATAAATAAAAATTGTAGTGTGTATATATAAATAGCATGCATTATAATATGGTGCTTAAAGAGTAAAAATGAGTTTGATTTAATAATGTATTTTAGATTGGGGTATTTTGAATAAGTGAAATGAATGTTGTTTAAATTACTTTTATCATGTTGATAAAAAATTAAAATGGAGATCATTAATTTTTTTTTTTTTTTTTTTTTTAGTGAGTATCTTTGCTTTAATTATTTTGATACTTATATATTTATTTATTATGTAAATTTAATTTAATTATAAATATATATTATATATCAATGAAAGTATAATATTTGGCATGCATTGGTTGGAAATAAAATGAAGAATCTCAATGTGGCGAGAAAAAATATTCATTTTGTGTGAAAAATATGAAATTATGATATAATTATTTTGAAATCTTATGTTTTTTTAATTTTTATTTTAATTGAATTAAAATTCATTTTTCCTTTATTTTGAATTTTTTATCAAAGTCGTGAAAATCAGAGAAGAAGTAAAAGTTCAAGGTTTCGTATGTTCGATTGAGGTTCAACCAAATAACGTAATAAATATGAAAATTAATTAAATATAATCTAAATAATATAAGAATAAATTAATAAATTAGTAATAGAAATAGTTTGTATGTTCGTGTTTGGGTTTTTTAGCTCGAAATAAATAAATAATAATATTTATTTTTTATCTTTTTTTTATATTATTTTTAATATGTATTAAACAAAGTTAATTTTTTATTTTTTAAAATTATTTGATTTGATATTTAAATAAATAAGATTTAAATGGTATGCATGTAATATTCCTAAAAATTCAGACTTTAGCCCCACATCCCTCATTTTTATCTTTAGAAAATTTATGTATCTCTTTAAAATGAAGACTTAAATGTGGCTTTGTAAAATAAATTCTTGGTAAGTGGAATTTTGTAAAATAAATACTCTTAAATTTCCCAAAAAAATAAAATAATAAATGTAAAAGTGGTTCATTCAAATCACGACTGGCTCGTCAGTTTTAAGGTTAGTTGGTTACAGCCGGTCCATTGCAGGTGCGGTTTTTAGCCTGCCCAAAATCAGACCATTAGCTAGTTCACGATCGAACCAGTTGAACCGGTTAATTCAATTTAGTTTTTAAATCGTGTTTTTCTATAAATAACATAAGTTTTTTTAAAGGGAATGACAATATATTTTATGTTCCAATGTTAAGTTCTTATGCTTCAAGATTTAACTTCAACAAATTTATATTTTTTATAATATAGACAAATTAAATTATTATTTTTTTTTAATTTTATCTTAAGTGTTAAAATTTTAATTATTTATAATATATTTGTATTTGCTTGCAAAAAAAAAAAAAAGACTGACATTTTCATCAAAAAAATAAAACGCAAAAATAATTTTTTCTTGGTGATCGCTCAAAATATTAAATATAATATTTTAATCATTTAAATTTAAAAATTTACATATCAACCCTTTAAAATTTTTAATGATTGGATAATAGAGTGTGAATTTAATATTAAAAAAATGGATAGTAAAAATATAAAATATAAAATTTAAGTGATTAAAATATTATATTTAATATTTTGCTTCTTAAAAAAAAGATACTATAAATACTATAGACCTTTAGCATCCTCTTTCCCGCGTAGGGCAAAGCTCTGGTACCTTCCTCTCCATCAACGGCCAATGCCGCCTCTCAATGAAATCAACGGTCCCAATCACCTAATACCCGCTACAGAACTATTTCCCGGCACCGATACGATACGTAGCAATTTTCCCGATTCCATCTCAGTTTCCGCTCCGGGTCGCCGTCCCCGATCCCCTCTCTCTCTCTTGTATCTTCCCCTTTCTCTGCTTCTGAGAACGCGTCTCTTCTCTCTCCTCCATCGTCCTCACACAGCTCCCCCATTTTTCCATCTCGTATTTTACTATATATCCTCGCTTCTTTTCCATGTCCTTTTCGTCTACTCGAGACCGAACCCTCAACCCTACATCGGACGGCCCACAGACGTCCGCGTCGTCTTCGTCGTCTTCGTTGCCCGCTCCTATCTTCTTATTTAACCCCGGCTCTAACCCTAAACCTAACCCTCGTTCTTTCCGCATTTTTTACCCCGCCTCCATAGATATCTCTGCGGTACGTCTCATCTCTCTTTTCGCTTTCTCTCGGGTTCGTCACTTCTCTCTTCATCTTTTTGAGGTTTTCAACTCTGTAGGCGCGATTGGTTTGTTGATTGTCCATGGCAATTGTGAAGAACAGTCGCAAGGTGTCAAGGCTGGAAGGCGATTTCTACCCCTGTACGGATTCGATGGAGGACGAAGACGGGAGCTCTATGTTGATGGATTCTGCCGACGGTAGCGTTTCGGGCGATGGAGCATCTGATGCGGATTCCGGTATGGGTTCCGACGAATTCGATTTATCGGAGGTTGGGGAGCCCGGGATGGAGCTTTGCCAGGTTGGAAACGAGAGCGTTCTCTTATCACAGGAACTGTACGAGCTTCCGAACCTTGGATTGGTTCTTTCGCTCAAAGCATGGAATCAGCTTCTAACTGAGGAGGAGCGGTTCGCATTAGCGGAATACCTTCCCGACATGGATCAGGAAAACTTTGCCTTAACTCTGAAGGAGCTTTTTTCTGGAAGTAATATTTACTTTGGGAGCCCGCTTGAGGTTTTCTTTAATCATTTGAAGGGCGGACTCTGTAACCCCAGCGTGGTTCTCTATCGCAAAGGTTTGAATATCTTCCAGAGACACCAGCACTATCAACAGTTGTGTGAGTATCAGAATTCCATGGTGGGAAACCTTGTTTATATAAGGGATTTGTGGCAGAACTGTAGTGGGTATGGAATTGAAGAGAGAGTGAGGCTTCTGAACATTCTGAGGAACCCGAGGAATCTGAGTTATGATAGGAATGGGGAGTTGGGTTTGGAGACTGATTATGGAAGCAGTGACTCAACTGAAGCTTGCTGGAGTCGAAGATTCAGTAATGGTCATGAGGAGCTGAATTCATGGCGGAAAGCTTCTTTTAATGCTTTTAGTCAGAGTAGTAGAACCACCATGCAGCCAGTAAGGTCAGGGAAGGCAAAGGGGATATTGAAGGTAGCTGCTATGAAGGTCCCTGCAAAGATGGAAGACAGAAGAAGTCCAGGTAACATTCTCTGGTTCTTTGTTATTGTTATGAGAAGGAATATAGATCGCCCAATTTGTCTTTGGTGTTCATCAGCAAAGTTTTGTTTCAGGAATTGCTGGGCGAAGTATTCTTGGAACCATGGAAGCTAATTCTGTCTCTTCGAAGTTGCTTAGAAGGAATTTTTTGAAGAGGCATGCCCATGATAAGCAAACTGATTTCGGTGTGGCAGATTTTGATGAGTATGTTGGGAAATCTGGTTACATTAACAACCACACCGAATCTGTTCAGGCCGTTACAATTGCTTCTTATGATTGTAAAACTTTAAATAAAATGATTACAGTGAAGGATTCTGACAAGGACCAGAAAGTTCCTGCCTTTCATCCTGCTGGCCCTCGTTCATTTGATGACTCAAATATAAGGGGTAAGAAATGGAAGGTTGAAGATGATTTCAGAACCAGTAAAAGTGGTTTCGGTTCTATGCTTAGATCTTGTAAGCGTCATCCCGCTGAATGGAGCAGTTCTCATTTCCGCTGGGATTATACAACCAAGAATTTACAAAGTGAGCTCAGAAGGAAGTCTTCTCAACATGAAGGAGATGGTGTGGAATACTCAAGGCCTAGTCTTGTTAAAGATCAAAGTGAGGAAACACAGTCTGATTCATCAGAAAAGGTTGAGGCATATAGGGACATGTATTCCTACTCCAGCAAGGCAGTGTTTTCTAATCTAGTAATGGAGGTTCACGAGCCTGAAATTAAACTAGAAGATCTTAAATTTCCAAGTAAACGGGCCAAATCCAGTGAAAAAGTTTCTCAACCAACTGATGGAGGCATGATTGATCGAACACTGGAAGTGGAGCCTCACTCTCGTAAAGTTAAGATGAAAGGTAAAGCAAATAAAACTGATTTTAGTGAAAGTTTTCATCTTGCCTCATTCGGTACCTGTGCTGCTGCTAGAATGCATAAAGGGGAAACCGATCATTCCGGGGAAGCAAATGATTTGTGTGACAATGTAAGGGGCGTTACAAATGAAGCTGAGGGTTTGGATTTAAATGCCAGATTAAGCAATACGGAAAAACAGACAAACAGGGCTGAAAAAAAGAGTCAAATCTCCACTGATTTTGTTTTGGAGGATTTTAATCATGAAAGGGCAAGCAAGCCCAATCTTGCCTGTAATTCCCAGTCAAAGAAGAGGAAAGGAAAAGGAGATGAACCAAATAGGCTGATTGCAGACTCTTCTACAATGAAGATGAAAAGGGGAAGGAAAACCATTCCTGTAGTAGTTACTCCATCTGTTGTGTCTTCTGAACCAATCGCGAAGCGTGGGTCTGAGTTAGAGATGGATATGAAAACCCGCAGGAAATCATTCACTTTGATCACTCCAACCATTCATACGGGCTTTTCATTCTCAATTATTCATCTCCTTTCAGCCGTCCGGAAGGCTTTAATCACAGCTCAAATGGAAGATACTGAAGATATCGGTAATCATCTCAGAGCGGATGATGCAGGCAGGTTTACAATGGCAGGAGAGCAGAAAAAGTTACTTCAGATCGCCAATGGTGATTCTCAGAGTAATTTACCATCCCTCAGAGTCCAGGAGATCGTTAATATAGTCAAGTCAGATCCAGGGGATCCTTGCATCCTTGAAACTGCGGAACCACTCCATGATTTGGTCAGGGGAGTGCTGAAGATATTCTCCTCCAAGACAGCGCCTTTGGGAGCCAAGGGTTGGAAGGCCCTTACCCTGTACGAGAAATCGATCAAAAGCTGGTCTTGGGTTGGCCCAGTTTCTTCCAATTCATCTGAAATTGACAATGCTGAAGAAGAAACTTCTGCTGAGGCATGGGCCATTCCGCACAAAATGCTGGTAAAATTGGTGGATGCATTCGCTAATTGGCTGAAAAGTAGTCAGGACATCCTTCAACAAATAGGAAATCTTCCTCTACCACCTCCAATGTTACCTGTTGTGGATAACAAGGATAGGTTCAGAGACCTCAGAGCCCAGAAGAGCCTGAATACAATCAGTCCAAGTTCCGAAGAATCGAGAGCATATTTTCGTCGAGAGGAGTTCTTGCGATATTCAATTCCAGACCGAGCTTTTCAATACACCACTTACAATGGAAGAAAGTCCATTGTTGCACCAATTCGAAGGGGCGGCGGCAAGCTGACATCAAAAGCTCGTGATCATTATATGCTCAAGCCCGATCGTCCCCCGCACGTCACCGTCCTTTGCCTCGTTAGAGATGCGGCGGCCCGATTGCCTGGAGGTATTGGAACCCGAGCCGATGTTTGCACCCTTATAAGAGATTCACAATATGTTGTTGAAGATGTTAGTGATTCACAAGTCAACCAAGTTATCAGCGGGGCTTTAGATAGGTTGCATTACGAACGCGACCCTTGTGTTCAGTTTGATGGAGAACGAAAATTGTGGGTTTATCTCCACGGCGATCGTGAAGAGGAAGATTTTGAGGATGATGGGACTTCATCCACGAAGAAATGGAAGCGGCAGAGGAAAGAACCT